AACCCTCACGCGCGAGAGGCGTATAAAAAGCCAGGAGAGCACCTAACGGCCCTCTCGCTCTGTGCAGAGGCTAGGGGGCTCTTCCTGCAAAGTTTGCCGAGACCCAGCGACCCGAACTCGCATTCACGGGCCCGGCAAGCACGATGACACCCCTTGCTCAACGGAGAAAAAAAGCCCCTAGAGGAGTAAACCCACTCCTCCAGGGCCTGCCTTACACTCACGGAGTGCGCCATGGCAGCACCCAACAGAACCACCAAGTACAAAACACAATCCCGACAGGAGCTGTTGCGAACCAAGTCTCATCAAAAACCTCAGGAGAGTGCCCGCACTCCTCCCGAGGCTCTCGGGGCTACTATCGGATACCACAAGAAGGGGTACCCTAAGCAAGATCCAAGAATATTGCTTAAGCCTTGCTAAAACCAAAGCCAAAAGACTACTACAAGGTCTCGGCAGAATTCTCCGATTCGCCCGAGGCCTTGCACCGAGGCCTCATGCGAAACAGGCCTAAAACGTCCCGCCGAGGCCCTCTCGCCGAGATCCTCTCGCCAAGGCCTCGCCCCGAAAGGCCTTGGACGGATCTCCAATTCTCTGATTCGCTCGAGGCCGGGCTCGGCGAACGTACTCATAACCTCCATCCCGACCGAACTCCTTTGGCAAAACGTCACATCCGGATTAAATGCACCCAACCACTCCCGCAAACATCAGCCGCACGTAGTTACAGTGCGGGCAGAACAACTGACAGGACAAGGACCGGGCACAGCAGGGGTTACCTGCCACTATACTCACCACTGTGCTCCCTCCTGACACTTATACTACCCTATGCTACCTAACCCCTGCGCCAAGGACAAAGCGGCATGGAAGGTCGAGTCCATGTCCCTGTAGCCTCGGAAACAGCAGGAGAGCCCAACTGCTCGGTCTCTGCCTCGTCCGAGACCCCCCGGCAAGGCCTCGGACGCGCCATTCCTTCTCCGCCTCGGCCGAGGCCGGGCTCGTCCCGCATTCTCGTCGCCTCCGCCTCAATTGCCCCTCTGGCGGGCCATCCCATCCGTGTAAGTACCTCTAGTTACGCCTACGTCAGCCACGATTGGCAGGGTATGGCAAAAGGGGCGATGGGACGGCAGTCAAATCACCTTTTTACCATCCCCTACTGACGGTGCAGAGACTACAGCTCCCTGCGGACGCCCATTCCGCACTTTTTCACTGGAATCGGTACGACATGCACCACCGAGACCCCGCGTCGTACATGGTCACCTCCGAGGCCTCGGCAGCGAAGGCCTCAGCACGATCGCTCCAAAGACGCCGCTGGGCCTCGGCACTCACACGGGACAAGAGTCCACCAGGCACGGCATGTCACCTACAGTGGAGGCCATACTGACTAGACGTCAACAAGGACTCTTACGACTTCAACAGCCTCGGGCATGGCCTGCGTGACGCACCGGTGATCAAGTACCAATTGCCATTCCCGACACTGTGCTGCTACAGGAATAGGCCATAGTACTGGATCTTCCTTTCTCGCTAAGGCTCCACGTGTAGCTCTCTCATGTACTCCTGGCTCCCTCCTTGTGGCTATAAAAGGAAGCAGCCAGGGCCGTTTCTAGGGATCGGGACCACGCCAGCCCTCATGCAAAAACGCACTCACTCAATTCATGCGCGCTCCCACGCTGCCTGAGAGCAACGACTCAAGCAGCCCGCACCACTCCACGTCGAGACTGGGACTAGCTCCCTCTCTCACCCAGCTTGTAACCCCCTACTACAAGCACTTCGGTGCAAGGAATACAAGATCGATCTCCTAGACTGGACGTAGGGCGCCGATTGCATGAACCAGTATAAACCTTGTGTCTCTTTGCATCACCATCCGGGATTAGGGGCACGCAATTCACATTTACTGGTTGGTTGAGGACCCTCTGGTCCGAAACGCCGACAGTTTTCTAGTGGTGTTGCATTTTTTTAGAATTTTGTGATGTGAGTGTGGAGTGTATGGGTACCCTCTCAAAAAGGACCGAGGGTTTGATTTGACCACTGGCCATTCTACGTAGGTTGGTTTACTAGTAGTGTCCATGTAATTATAAAAATCATGGTTGACTTGATAGTTTGTGGTTTGCAAGTTGTTGCATTCTAACAGGGTTTTATTCAATTTCTTGTTAAATATTTTTTATTTTGATGTAATGTTTACATTTACTTATTGGTAATGCTAGGTCAGGCCTCCAGATGGACAGACGCACTTCCTAGAAATTTCCCGGCTCGTTACCACCGCTCGCTCCACTGTGCCGCCTGCCTTTCCCACTCCGCGCTCCACCACGCCGCTCACTCACCGTGCCCAGTGAGGCTCCACATAGATGCTCCAGCAAGCAGGTAAGGGGAGGAGCTTCATGTGACCCCGCCATGCCAGAAAGTTGCCCACTGTGCTGCGGCACCAGCGAGCTCCATGCCGCCATGAGCTCCACACACCGCCGCTGACCTCAACGCCGGTGTCGAGCTCCGCAACGACAAACCTCGATTCGTTCAAGCAGCAAGGTGACATTGCACTGAAAGCGCATGTTGCAAGCATATGTTTCAAGTGTTTCAGATGTTTATTTCAAATGTATGTTGCAAGTGCTTTATATTGATATTGCAAAAGTAGATCATGATATTGCACATGTTGCAATGGCTATACACGTATGTTTCAAGTGTATGTTTCAAATGTTTCATCTGTTTCAGGCGTACGTTGCAAACGCTTCATCTGGATGTTGTAAAAGTAGATCTGGATGTTGCATATACATGCATGTTTCAATCGTATGTTTGAAGTGATTCAGGTGTTTCATACGTATGTTGTAAATGTTTCATCTGGATGTTGTACCTATTTTGCAACGGCTACATACGTGTTTTCAAGTTTTTCTGGTGTGTTTTGCAAGTGTTTCAGACGTATATTGCAAGTGTTTCAATTGTTTTCGGACGTATGTTGCAAGTGTTTCATATAGATGTTGCAAAAGTAGATCTGGTGTTGCACATGTTGCAATGGGATCCACTTGCCGTAATCGCCTGTTGCAGCTGCTGGTGCGCCATTGTGGGTCACCGTGTGGGCGTCTGAGGTCGATAGACACATCCGCGGCGTGGCATCCACAGACGGGGCATGTGACTAAGACCCACGTGGGTTCCTGTGTGCGGACGTGGTGGTCACGCGAAACAGTGCGAGTATGATGGTATGGCGGTACGCACCGTGGGGTCCACGTGGTGGGGCACACGAGAACAGGGAGCGCGGGCTTCTTTTGCATGCAGTGCGGCCTCTGGCGAGAAGGACCGGAGGCAACCGATATTTTGGAGTGGCTCCGGACGTCCGCGCACTAGTAAGCCTTGATGTTTGCTAGAAGGCAGCATGTTTTTTAACATCTTGTTCGCTTGATGGTTTTTACGGCTAATAAGCTGACTGATATTGTTTTGTTAGAGAGAAAAATATTATACTATGGCTACTAGGCTGATAAGTTCAAGCGAACCAATATTAAAAAAATTTGACTTACTGAACATCCTCAGTCTACCTTGAGGCTTCATTTCGAGTATCACGAATTCTTAAAGGTGGAGCCATTGCATGAGCCGACGAAGCAGTATTCCTCCTGTGCTATTTCCGGTCCATGTAGATGTGAGATCTTGGTTTAACAAATTTAAGAAGAAAGAAGAAGAGAGGAGTTGTTGGACGGCCGATGCCAGTTTTTGACTATTCGTTTGTCTGATGAGCCGTACTATTTCAACGAACGAAAAATATTTTTTCTTGTAACAAATTAGTGAACAATACTTTCAGCCATGCTTTTTTCAGCAAAATGAATAGAGCCTTTGTCTTCACCAATGCGCAGTTTTTCCACTAGGTAACAAAGTTCGTTCACTATTATCGTTGCATTATCATCATCATCATCCAGAAGGGCATGCATTTTCAAAAGAAAATGAGGACACAAACGGTTAGGCCCCGTTCGCTGGTCTGAACTTTAGCTGAAACTGGCTGAAAAACACTGTTTCGGTTAAATTATTATGAGAGAAAAACACTGTTCCAGCTGAAAAAATAAACCGAACAAACAAAATTTAAGACAAGCGAACAAGGCCACGGGAGTGGGTGAGCGCCTGGAGACGCGCATATGTATGCGTCTGGAAAAATAAGTGAACAACCGCATGCCATGCCGCGGCGCCGTCGCTTCCACGGAAGAGACGACGGAGGAGACTAAAAAATTCAAGATCGCGGACCTCGTGTGCACGGTTTTCGTCCTTTATTCAGTAGTCTGTCTGTCCAGTGAGCAAACAGAGAAATCGCTGGCCACAGGCCCACACCACACCCGGTTGCTAGATTTGTTTGTCCGCAGATGACCCCGGCGACTACTGTTTGGACCTGGAATTTTTTTTCTATTCTTATATTTTTTCTGTAAAATTGAATTAATTCATGTGAAATTCCTTAACGATTCCTGTAAAATTCATGCGTTTTTCATGTCAAGCCTATAGTGGTGGGGAAGCATTGCTCCCAAACCATATACCGGACGTTGCAGTCGTGTGTTTAAGCAAAAGCAGATGCCATCTTAACACTGCGAGGGCCATGTAATCACTCACACGATTGGTGCTGCGAGCATATCAACATGCACGGACACTCTGTTGGTTTCCCGGAACCTTCAACTCCAAAGGCAGACAGCTAAAACAGAGCCGGAACCGGGGACATGAGAATTCGATGCTCCCGGTTTGAGACCCTCTGCTACGCTCGATCCAACGGTTCTTGAGCCGCCTCCATGACACAAAGCTCCATCGCGGCCGTCGGTCGAAGCCGGGCAAAACCGCAGCAGGAGCGGAATGCCCGGCCGTAGAGGTTTCTGTGGCAAGTGCGTGGCGGAACTGTCCTGGGAACAAATTCCGGTCCAAGTATCTGACCGTGACCGCAGGCCGCAGCTTCGTGCGTGCGTCAGACGCCCTCTTTTTCACAACCTCCACCTCCACACTCCACCGCGCAGACGTGAACAAGAACCACCACCACCTATTCTTTCTTCTTCTCCCCGATGAAGACCGCCGTGGTGGTGGTGTTGGCGGCGCTGCTGCTCCCCCTCTCCGCCTTGCTGCGCTTAGGCTGCTTAGCCACGGCCACCGCCACCGCCGACGCCGACGCCAACCGGACCACCAGCGGCAACGACACGAGCTGCGCGCCGGCGACATGCGGGAACCTGAACATCACGTACCCGTTCTCGCTCGCCGGCGTGCATCCGCTGGAGTGCGGCTACCCGGCCTTCGGGCTGACATGCGACGCTGCTGCTGGCAGGGCGTACCTCAGCAGGACGTTCAGGGTGAACCTGTACCGCGTGCTCAGCATATCCTACGACAACCGCTCCATGCTCGTGGCAGTGGAGACCGCCTTCTCCGGCAACGGGGCGTGTAGAATCCCGGACTTCAACGTGTCCTCTGGCCTCGACCTCTTCCCGGTCAACACCAGCGCCACCAACTGGGAGCTCACGTTCGTCTACAACTGCAAGATTCCTCACAACGAGCTGCTGACAGGGCCATGTGCCAAACACCCAATTGGGGTTTACATCTCCAAGAGGCCCGGCGACGTGGAGAACAGCCGGCCGCAGTGGGTTCAGGCGAACTGCAGCTCCGCGAGCGTGCCGGTGCGCGGGTTCCAAGATGGGATGAATCTGACTCGTGAGTACGATTCATTGATCAGCGATGGTTTCCTCCTGGACTGGCTGACGCTTGGAGACTGCGATGCGTGCAAACGGAAAGGAGGGCAGTGCAGGTTCTGCGAGCTTTCCTTCCAATGCGTCAATTCTCGTGGTAAGCATCCTCTATTACCTTGTGCTGGAGTACTTTGGATTGGAGAAGCAATACATTAGTAGATGGACAACCTCACCATTGCTGCATTTATTTTTTTTGTCTAGCTGGTGCCTCGTATTTACCTGTTCTTGTGAATTTAAATTAAACCTGAATTCCTACTATGACATCAAAACAAAACAACAAGTATTGTTCGTAGATAAGATGCACTTGACGCGAACAAGATAAAACGATCAATGCCAGCCTCAAGTTTGAATACCGCTTCCCCTTTGACTTGTCTAGCTCTAGCCCGGCAGCTCCAATATGAATTTTGAAGTGGTCAGTTCATAGACTTGGATGGAACTTTGAACTTTGAAGCGCTTCCTCGCATCACTGGCGGCAAATTGCTCTGCACTTCTTCCTTTCTTATCTCTAAAGCCTCTAACAAGCCTTAGAAGTGGGCTGAAAAGGTAGCAGGAGCCAATCCTTGTGTATTCAGTAATCGTTTTTTTTTCCTATTAAAAAACTGTAATCCATTCAATGGTCAATGGAAAGCATGAGGCGGCCAGGCTGCTCTATTAATTTGTGCCTTCAGGTTCGATGCACAGGCCGTTTTCTGAAAAGAATGTTCAACCTTTTGTCAGCCAGGAGATTTGGTCCAACCATATGCTTGATGTTTTCCTGACTAACACGCACATGTATATATATAGTAGAGGCATTTGCCAGAGTTTTCAATTTCTTCTCTCCATAACTGGTATCAGGGAACGGGGTAATAGGTAATCTGAAAGGGACTGATACCTGTTCATATTTAATCTCGAACTGATAACAGATGAGGTTCAGCTGAGAGTTGACTCAGGTCTACCAATAGTGCCTGATCTTCAAGTCTTCTCCCCAAGTCTTCCATGGATAGACTACCATTCGTTTTCATTAGATATTTCATGCATGCTAGGAATACCGCAAAGTGACCTTAGTGCAAGGGCAAGGATAGGAATATTCTCCTCTACAGAACTCAGAACTCAGAAGCCTTTGATCGTGCACAGTGCTGTCCTGTTGTTTGAACATCTTGGCTGCTTCCTCCTTTTATATGCCGTGTGTATCACGTTCTCCACAGATTCATTGGATGCAATGTCATCTTGATGTCTACTTGTTCGGTTGAGATTGAGATCATGTCTTTGTCTTTTACTTTCTCGGTTGTCCCAACTCATGTAAACTATATGTCCTATCAAAAACTTCACTTTGTCTTCCACTGACAAATGAGGTACACTTGCCGTTTAGTAGAGTGATCCAGAAGATTAGTATACTTAAGTCTTTTTTTTGCATAACTCTAACAAACAATCAAACATTTGACCATGATGTGCCAAGTAAAGGGGCATGCAGCAATTTTTTCTCTGATCGTTGTTAACAGTAAAAAGATCCTTTTCTCATTTCTCTGAAACTTTATGAGTTGGTTTATCCTCATGATCTCATCTCCTTACGAAACTTTTCTGAACATGCAGGCGGCGCAAAGAGTCTTGGGCTCAAAATTGCAGGAGGTAATGAAAAACTTTATTATCAGAATGAAAGACCAGACCTTATTGTGCAAATGTGCATGCTTACATTTGGCTGAACATTGGGTCTTTATTATCCTTGGAGCCATATTAGTTTGCTATATGACTCATGACGTGGTTATCCTTGTGGTTTGAACCGGTGTCACAAGCAGGAATCGCAGCAGCTCTTCTATGCGTGATCATACTGAGCATTGGGTTTCTCCTCATGCTGCACAAGCGAAGGAAGAGGAAGAGATCTGCGTCACTGGCCGGGCTCATCCGTGATGGGACGCCATTGGCATCGCTCCGGAAAGAGTTCAGCATGACCGGATCGCCCCGTACGCACATCTTCACTTACGAGGAGCTTGACGAGGCCACCGACGGCTTCAGCGACGAACGCGAGGTCGGCGTCGGCGGCTTCGGCACAGTGTACAAAGGCACGAAATAAATTGTTTTCAGTTTCAGCTAGTCCTGTCCGATGCATGGTTTCTTCAGAGGTTAAAAGCTAAGAAATGGCATGCATGTACGTTGTGCAGGGACTCTGCGGGATGGGAACGTGGTGGCGGTGAAGCGTCTGTACAAGAACAGCTACAAGAGCGTGGAGCAGTTCCAGAACGAGGTGGAGATCCTGTCGCGGCTGCGGCACCCGAACCTGGTGACGCTCTACGGCTGCACCTCGCCGCGGAGCAGCCGCGACCTGCTCCTCGTCTACGAGTACGTCCCCAACGGCACGCTAGCCGACCACCTCCACGGCGCGCGCGCCTCGGCCTCGGCGGCGGGGTCCGACGACTCCGCGCCGTCGCCGCCGCTGACGCTGTCGTGGCCCGTCCGCCTGGGCATCGCCGTGGAGACGGCGAGCGCGCTGGAGTACCTCCACGGCGTGGAGCCGCACCAGGTGGTGCACCGCGACGTGAAGACCAACAACATCCTCCTGGACGAGGCGTTCCACGTGAAGGTGGCCGACTTCGGGCTGTCCCGGCTGTTCCCGGCGCACGCCACGCACGTGTCCACGGCGCCGCAGGGCACGCCCGGGTACGTCGACCCCATGTACCACCAGTGCTACCAGCTCACCGACAAGAGCGACGTGTACAGCTTCGGCGTCGTGATGGTGGAGCTCATCTCCTCCAAGCCCGCCGTGGACATGAACCGCGCCCGCGCCCCCGGCGGTGGCGACGTCAACCTGGCCAGCATGGCCGTGCACATGATCCAGTGCTACGAGATCGACCGCCTCGTGGACCCGCGGATCGGGTACCGGACGGACGGCGGGACCAAGCGGGCTGTGGACCTCGTCGCCGAGATGGCGTTCCGGTGCCTGCAGCCGGAGCAGGACGTGAGGCCGCCCATCAGCGAGGTGCTGAACGCGCTGAGAGAGGCGCAGAGGATGGAGCAGGATGGGTGCGCCGTCAAGGCCAAGGATGACATGGGGTTGCTCAAGAAGAGCAGGGACGGCTCGCCAGACTCCGTCATGTATCAGTGGACCAGCCCATCCACCACTACCCATAACAGCAGTTGAGGGTTCAGTCAGAAAAGAAAACATGTCAGTAACCTGTGTGCAGCGTGCACTTATTAGTAGGTTAGGTAACCTGTAAATTGATGCGTTTGTGGAAGAGAGTGTTTTTGTTCAAAAAATTATCTCGCTGAAAGCTTCCTTGTAAAGGTCGTATGGATGATAGAGAATTCAGATTCTGAGCCAACTGAAACATCAAGCATTCACCGAAAATATTGATATATTATTATATTGCTGTACACGTAGGATGGATGCCGTGCTGCATACTTCCGATTGGAGGAATCTTTCTGCGACATTTCTCACTGCACAAGCACAACAAACTTTGTGTGACTTCCCACAGCTTTTGGTTGTTGGCCATGGCTTCTGCTGACATGCAGACAAAAAGACCAGTCTATTTCATTTTCAGAATATATTTAGATACTACGGTACCCCTCCATCCTAAATTATAAATTATTTCAACTTTCTTAGAGAGTCAAAACATTTTAAGTTTAATCAAATTTATATAATAAGATAATAATATTTATGATACCAACTCAGTATTATTAGATTCTTCATTAATTATATTTTCATAGTATCTATTTGATGCCATAAATTTTATAATTCTCTTTATAACTTTGGTTAAACTTGAGATGCTTTAACTCTCAAAGCTTATTGGAATGACTTATAATCCGAAACGGATGAAGTATCTTTCGGTCAGCGAACCAAGACTCTTTTTTTTTTTGCATCCCCAAATTATACATTTTTTGTGTACTACATCCGTTCCAGGACGAATGCTTTGGTAATCTTCCGTTGGACGTTCACACACCTTGTGTGAATCTGAATCATCCGCAGTACAGGGAGTCAGTCGCGCAAGGTACATCCAGTGCGAAATTTTGCATGATCTCCGACTTGAGCAACAAGGGGACCCAAATTTTGGGCAAAAACATACATACACTGCTCTTCTCTGCAATGCTGGTTGGACATGCAGAAAAATACTCGTGCAAGTGCATTACAACAATCATCAACAATGCATCATCTAGTACGATCTCCTCTGCATCTGTTCGTACTGCTCTTCTTCTCCAGCCTAGCCGCGGCCTCTGCAGCCACAGAGAGGATCCCGAACTCCACCACGTTGTCGTCGTCGTCGTGCCCATCCTACCGGTGCGGACACGCCGTGGACATCCGGTACCCGTTCTGGATCGACGACGGCACCGCGAGCGCCGGCAACGCCTCGTCGTTGTCGTCCTCCCAGTCCCACTGCGGGTACCCGAGCCTGCGCCTGGAGTGCCGGCGCGAGACGCCGGTGCTGCCGCTCCCGTCGGGGGACTACGCCGTGACGCACGTCATGTACGGCGACCGCACCATGTTGCTGTTCGACCTCGGCGTGTTCTCGCTGTCCAACACCTGCCCGCTGGTGGGCCGCAACCTGTCCCTCCCCTCCGGGTCGCCGCTGTCGCTCACGCCCCGGGACGCCAACCTCACCTTCTTCGTCCACTGCTCCTTCGTGGGCATACCCGCGCACCTCGTGGCGTGCCTCGAGGGCGACGGCAGGCACCACTCGTACGTGTTCCGCGACGGCGACGAGCTCGCGCCGTACGGCTACACGGGGCTGTGCCAGAGCGTCATCGGCATGCCCGTGCTGCGGAGGTCCCTGCTCGGCCCCGCGGGGTCCACGAGCAGCCCGCTGGACGCCGTCGTGCCCGCGCTCAACATGGGGTTCGAGCTGAGCTGGAGGCCCGAGGCGGACGGGGAGTGCGGACAGTGCGAGAGAGCCGGCGGCCTGTGCGGCCGCCGTCGGCAGGCGGGGCACGGGCCGTGGACCTTCGCGTGCTTCCGGGCTGCGGCGAACCCAGCGTGGATTCCTCCGAAAACTCCAGGTACGCGTGCAAATATATTCCTCCTAGGCGTGTTCTTTAGAGATTTCATAGATTTTTGCTGCGTCAAGGTTTAAATGGGCTTAACGAAATGGAGCTCTCCGAGACGCGTAGTTAAGAATTGGCCTGACAGCGAGTTAGGCAAACTATAAAGGATGGCCCAAGTACAGTGGGCCTTAGCCCGTATAGGGCCTGGTCTCCGGTGGACTTAAGATTTGTTGATTTGGTTCAATTAATCAAAGAAAGAATTATCGGCAATTCTAGCGTCCCGGACGCTGCATCCGGAGGCTGGTCCACTTCCAAAACCTGCCCGCCCCCGCGCTGAATAAAATGGAACCCCGTCCGCCCCCGCGTATACAACGGAACCCGCCCCGTTCCACCGCTCCCCACTGCGCCCTGTCCTCCGTTCCCTGACGCACCCCGATCTCCGACCGTGCCTGTCTCAAAAAAACACGAAACACTTCAAGTGCAACATTATAAATATATAAAAAAACTATGTAGTGCAACATCATGATATAAATACTGCAACATCGCAAAAAAAATATATAGTGTAACATTAAAAACATGCACTGCAATATCGAAAAATATGTAATGCAACAACGAAAATATACACTGCAACATCGAAAAAATATATACTGCAACATCGAAAAACATGTAGTGCAACATCGAAAAATTATGTGCTGCAACATCGAAAAAATATGTGATGCAACATCGAAAAACATGTACTGCAACATCAAAAAACATGTACTGCAACGTCGAAAAAATATGTACTGCAACATCGAAAATTATGTGCTGCAACATCGAAAATTATGTACTGCAACATCTCAAGCAGTAGTATTGCAACATCACAAAAACATTTGTTGCAACGACACAAAAACCATATTGCAACATTCGAAAATTATCTGTTACGACATCCTAAAAAAACCATTGCAACTCGGGAGAAACAACAACAAAAAAAGCGTACAAAAAATGCCCTAGGCCGATCACCTTCGAGCTCGCTGAAGGGAGGAGGGAATAGGACCCTAGAGCTCGCTAGAACCCCAGCCACCGCCGCGTCCCTCAGATCTAGAGGAGGAGGAGGAGGAGGGCTCAGATCCAGAGGAAGAGGAGGGCTCAGATCCAGAGAAGTACCGACTTACCTCGTCGAAGCCGCCCCATCATCCTCGTCTCCGGTGGGGGTCGCATGGAGGTCGTGGAGGGAGGGAGGGAGAGAGGGGTGGCAGCGACCTAGTGCGCAGGCGTGGCGTCCGTCCCGGTGGCGCGGCAGCGAGTGGGTGCAGAGGAGGGGGGGCGGGAAGCTAGCGACCGGAGCGACGAGTTGGCGCGGGGGAAGACGGGATGGGATAAGGAGTTGGTGGGCGCGCTCGGTGAGTCGTTCCGTGTGCGGGTCCATCTGGACGGGACGGACGCCCGCACAGTATCATTATCGAAGAATTATCTATATGGCTTCAAAAAATCTATGGCTTCCTTATATGTTCATTTTTCTTCTGAAGTTACGTATAAGATCTGAAAATAAATTTGACTTACCTGTATGGCCTTCTCTCATTAATCAATCGACACGCTGAGATGTGAGACCTCAAGTCGGTCACCGTTAGGGCTCATTCAGTTCCTTCAGAACGAGTCCCTGGAATGATTCCCGGTTGGTATGGTTCACTAATTTGTATAATCTTGACAAGCTGAAATGACTCATAGGTCCAGTCCAGGCTAACCGAACAGTTAAGGGTCTATTTGGTGCGGTTCTAGCTTTGGCTAGCTTTAGCAGAAAAGTGATATCAAACACTCAAAGAGGATGAGTTATTTTTTGGTGTCCTAAAGAGGACCTGGGACCCCTTTTTAATACGAATGAGCTACTTTTCGACACTTAAACTCTGGCTCCTCCAAATGAGCTTTTGGAAGAGAAGTCATGCCAAATAGGCATTAAGGGCCTGTTTGGTTGCTGCCTGTCAAGTAGGTTTGCAGCCGGGCAAGTATCTGGATCTCAGTCAATGCCTAATCCTTGCTAGGACCAGGCATGTTCACAATCCTTCAACCAAATAAGCCCTAAAGATTTGACCTTGTTGGTTGTCTGATCCGTTCCCTACCGCATATATTTCGGTTTATCCCTAGCAACCCTAAGAACAAGTGACCATAGTGCCAACACACTATGACGTTACACTCGAAGTCAAATTCCAAACACTATGATCATGGTGCTCAGCGAGTTAGCACTACGATACAAAACCTTCGGTGATCATTGGCCCATCGGGGTTGTGTTTTAGGGTTTTTGGGTTCACAAATAGTACAAACCCCAAACCCTAGCACATTACCTTTATGGTCACTCGGGTTGTGTTTTAGGATTTGTGGGTTGTCAAATACCTAGAAACAATTTGTGTTGAAAGGTTGATCATGCAAAGATGCCATGGCCACATAAGGTTAGTTATGGTATAACATATATTGGTGGTGTGTGTTTGGGTATTTTAATGTCGAAGGAGGTATTGAAGGAGTTGACGAAGATAGAAGATAACGGTGTGAAAGTGAGAAAAGGCACCTAGAGCATGGTTAAAAGGTGGCGAAAGTAGGCTTGTAATAGTGTGGGAGCATGATGGCTTATAATGAAATTCCAATCAAGATTCTTGAATTTCAATGTTTATACTGATAAACAATACTCCATCGTCCTGTGCATTATGGTCATTCTTAGACAAAATAAGAGAGAATGCAATGACGCATGTACCCCTCACTTAACTTTCTAATATATTGAAATCTAATTCTATTCCGCATGATTAAAGGGTGAGCTCTGTCTCCTTGTACAAAATATGGCAAGTACATGAATTACTTTTCTTATACAAAATAATCATATATTTTTTATTTAAATAAACATTATCTTCTTGTTCTCCGAATGCACTATATTTCAGGACATTTTAAATGACAGAATACACTATATTTTCGGACTGTCGACAAAAGATGTTCGGCAGTCCACCGAGGGGTATCCCACGATGGTAGATTTGTCGTAGAGGTGAGCGAGATCAGGAGCGAAATGGTAATACAAGCACCAAGACACAAGATTTAGACAGTTTTGGCCGTCAGTATGACGTAATACCTAAATCATGTGTTCTGATGTATTGCATTGAGATGTTGAATAGGGGACCCCTAACTCTTCTTATATACTCTGGAGGGGTACGATTACAAGGAAAGTATCATATTTGGTACTATACAATAGCTTGTGGTGCACGCCGAGCAGCGCCGTGCATGTCTTGATCTTGTAGGCTAGGCCACCTCTGATGGTGCGGCCCATATCTTATCTTGTGGATACTGGGGGCCATACCCCCACAACTAGTCCTCGAGCTTGACAGTAGGTGACGTAGTCACGTGGTGCCAGGGTCAGAAAGTAGAAGACCAGCCGAGCAGGCAGCTAGTCCCCGGACGTAGCCTCGAGATGGAAAAACACACATTCACCGCAAGGTGAAGTGTGCCCACTTAGTCCCCGAGCCTGCTGGAAGATGAAGAATGAATCTTGTAGCAGGGTTAAAGAAAAAGAAGTCTGAAAGCTTGTCGACGTCGTCTGACATGCGCGTATCAAGACCCCAGACATGCTGCCCAAGATCAGTACCCTGATCCGAACAGCATGGAGCAGCTTGACAGCACATCGACGAGACGTAGCAAGATCCGAGCAGCAAGGGAGTCCTCTGTCCGAGTACCGAGGAGTGCCCGGCATAGCTGGCGATATCCGAGCACCGAGGAGTGCCCGACGTAGCTGGCGATGTCCGAGCACCGATGAGTCCCCGGCGTAGCTGGCGATGTCCGAGCACCGAGGAGTCCTCGACGTAGCTGGCGATGTCTGCAAGGTGAAGTGGGGTGAAGTGTGCCCACTTAGTCCTCGAGCACGAAGAATCCGAGCGCCAAGGAGTAACCGATGTAACTGGCGATGAAGCACGAGCGACGAACAGTCTGATCAATTGGTCGGCGGCGAAGTGAGCATTGAGTAGAAGCGACCGGTAAACAGTCCGATCAACTGGTCGGCGACGAAGTCCATGAACCTAGTGGTCCGACCAGTTGATCGGTGGAGAAGTCCGAGCACCAGGTGGTCCGATCACCTGGACGATGATCCTGCAATACAAATATGTAGAACGGGTAGTACATGATGTAAAAATATATGAACTCCGGAGAAAAAATAGCGTATGTAGCTCGGCGATCAGTTGGAGCGAAGATGTATTTATATTTAATATAAACCGCCCGACCAGTTAGTGTGTAGCTGGGTCTCCAGCCCTAACTAGCCCATAGTCCATAACGTCGAGCGCGGAGCCCATGCACGTGTAGGAGGAACAGGCGTAACCAAGGAACCGCTGCAGACCACCCATAACGCAAAGCGCGGAGCCCGTAGCACGTGTAGGGAGGAGCCGGAGACAGGGCCGTCTCTGAAGGCGTCCGAGCGTCAACATGACTGTTCGGGGGTTCAAAAAATTGTTTGGAGAGCAAATATAGAGAAAATAGCTCGGAGAAACATTATGGCGATATACAAAGATTGGAGAATATTTAGAAAAATATTAAATCGTGACTTAGCTTTAGACAGAAAAGTCTAGTCGGTGATGTATGGCGTTATCTGGTCGGCGACGCGGGCAGCTCGCTAGACGGCTCGGACGGCTTCCTTAGCGGCTCGCTTGGCAGCTTGACGTAGCCAACTGTCGACAAAAGATGCTATCAGAGGACGGCTTGCTTAGTGGCCATACCCCCACACGGACGGAGGAAGTATATTATTTTCCATTAAAAAATATACTTTTAAGTTTTTAGTGGTATATATTTTCTATGTTCACTGTAGAACATGTATGTGGTATTTAGTGGAGGCTTACAAGTAAGTCACAATAAAAAAAAATGAAGAAATAAAGAAGTAGTTGGGTGACCAAACTAAAGATGGACAGAAATTGTTGTAACTTATGTAAGCACGGGTTATAAAATCCAGATAACGCCATTTGGGCTAGGTGAGTATGCTTCAAATAAATTTAGACTTCATGTCATTGATGGACACAAATTGTTGTAACTTATGTAAGCACGGGTTATAAAATCCAGATCACCGGATATGAAAGGCGGGAGTGCGGTTTGGAAAGTAGAAAAAGTGAGACGAAAGAAAGCGAGCCGAAAAAACATTTG